ACAGCTCTAGACACTCGTTCTGACAATTTTGGTAGAAATTACCAACAAGAACGCCATCGATTAGCAGCCATATTTTGCAGCATTTCTAACCAGGCACAATGGGGATCACGCAGAACCCTTTTTGAAAGGTGATCAACATAGACAGTACTAAAACTTTTCGCTATCTCTTTCTTTTCCCTCTGAGAAGTAAAACGCTGACCACCTCTCTGCTTCCATCACTAGAACCTGGGCACGGAAAACAGCACGGCGTGTGCAATACATAACCAAACTGCCGCTGTTTTGGTGCCGGAGATATTCCTCGATGACGTCTCGGCTGCAAAACCGAACACTCGTTTTCCAATTAGTTTCGCCGCGGCTTCGCTGGAACCAGCTTACACGAGCTATGGTTGTGAGACAGCGGTTGTCGAACACCTGAAGATGTCTCAGTTTTACTGCTCACACGGAGCGAGATGGCCCAAGCGCGAATTTACTGACCGGAAGGTCCGTGGTTCAAACCCGACCTCTGCCTCTCAACTTTCCCCGTCTAGGCTTGGGTAACCTGGTAGTATCCTAGCCCTCGTGAACCCTGCGGGTGGTATGGCAGTTAGACATCGGAAGGGTGTTACAGCTGAACAATTATCTTTATCTTTTATCTTACGGGATACCTCCCACGGCTGTACAACAAAACAACCAATAACGTAGTCTGATAACTACGTCGCTTGAGACGTACTGATATGCCCCTTTGGGGACATAGGTGTCCCAAGTAAGCAAACACCACCCGGACCTTGCAGATTCGAGAAACAACTTATCTGTCACATTCAAATCGGAAAGCATACAACCTACAAGATATGTAAAACGTGTTTAGTGACTGGATGTCCGGAAGCATGACACTACACTTCGTGGGTGGAAATCGCATGGCAAGTACGGGATGATTTTGGTCAGCTCAACCAAAATCACGTGCACCTTCCCCTCGAAGACGAGAACGACTTTACCCGCATACTCCAGGTTGACAAGGCCTTCGTCACTAGCTATTTGAGCACCAGTGTTTCGAAGAACTTCCACCGCTAGTCTCATTATCTCGTCGATTCGAAACTGAATAGGGATGAAAAGAGTGGGCATCTATATTGGACACCATTTCCCGTACATTTCAATAAGGCACAATGTGATTGTGAGATCAAAGTGATAAAGTGGTTTTCATTCCACGACCATTACTGCAGGATCAAACAGCCATAAGTATTATGGGGAATGAAATATTGACGATAAGCACGAGATGAGGCTGGATGATTCTGCGAGACTTGGACCAATCATCATCAAAGACAGCAACATCAGTGTTGGCACTGATGCTTCACTGTCGTACAACCATAAGGTTCGTTTAGTTATATATATATATATATATATATATATGTATATATAATTGTATTAAAAGCCCTACAGAGAAGAGAAAAGAGTGGGTGAGGGAGGGGACCTAGTGCTGGCCTATGTCAAGCATACTGAGGTGCCTAGACCTCCAACCGCTCAATCAGACAATATGGAAAGAAACTGACAGCAAGAACGCCACTGACATCGATTAGCCGCCATTTCTTGCAACGTCTCCAGCCAAGCACAGA